CAGGAGTGTGTTCATTGTGAAGCATTTCATCATAGCCTCCATGAAACATGTGGCCCACTATACCCATGCTCGATAGAGCAAACCAGACAGTGGTCCTCTGTGGATGGAGCAGTCTACCAACAATGTAATGGGGATTCTCTGATGCCCATAATCTCATGTTCTGCTTGCTGACATAATCATCAAGGGGATGTGCTTGAAGGATTCATGATGGTCTTTCATAAATTGATTGAAAGCTGAAAAAATTCAACCCTGTCTATCTCTGTCAAGCTGTAGTAGAGGTTTGGGAAGCTGCACTTTATATGGGTAATTTTGAAAATCTCTGCTGGGCATTCTGTATGTGGACTTCAAGAACACATTGAGTAGTTGACAGCCTAACTTGATAGTGTTTTTTTTTTTAATGGAGTTTTTCTGACACTGAATTCAATGCAGAAATCAACCTGAACTTCCACTTTACTACCCTGACTTGGGTAGGACTTCCTCACAATGAAATCTTGCTCCTAGACAAAATACGGCATATCAGTTGATATAGATCATACTATGGAATAAAACTCCAAGATGTCCTCCAAGTAATGAAATTAAAATCTAACCTCTCCATTTGTCCTTTTAGGAGTTATTTAAAAAAGAAAAGGGCCAGTGTTTTTGGAAACATCCCATGTATTATTTCAGATGTTACATCCAACACTTTGGACAGACCCTTGTACATAACATGTACAACCCAGCCACCCAGGCTATATTACACATCTACCATTCTTCTCTGTTCACAATTCATTCTGCCTATCACTGGATATTGTATAGCTTGTATAGCTTGCACCTACAGACCTTCCCTATGCATATCAGTCATCTCCTTGTATCATTGCCCAGTGGAGCCTCAAGTCCATGCTCATGACACCAGGAGCAGGAGTAAAAAAGTGGAATGGCAGGAAAGAATCAGAATTTCTTGAATGTTTCCTCTCTATCCACGGTAAACTGCTTTATGCTTTATCAGGGTTACTTCCCCATCACATCATAACCATCCTACTTTCTTTTTTAAACATAACTTCTCACTCATAGGTCTACATGAATAGTCAAAGGTAACTCAATAATTATGGTTCCTCTCCTCCCTCCCCTCTATGGATTATTTAATACTCCAACTCAAGAATTTATATGCACCTTCTTTGCACTCCCAATAGGATAGTGTCCCGATCCCATCCCGGGGGTCTCATTCTCTCCCATTTGAGGAAAATAAGACTCAACACATCTGCAGATACACAGAGTAGCATGGGTCCACTGGGAGCAATTAAGTAAGAGAGGAGTATATAGTAGGCCTAGTGTGCACAAGGGAAGGGGGTCTAGAGGCACATATTACACTCAAGTACAATTTCCATTGAGTCTTATCACCATGGTTCAATCCACAAAATTGAACATGCTAAGGGGCACACAGCATTGTGCAAAGGGAAATACCAACTATCACTCCATAGGCATAGGCTTAGATCAGGGATGCACACAGTCATATACAAAGACCCATCAAAAAGTTCCAGGACTGGCTTTTGTACTTGAAAACTCAGTACACAAGTTAGGTTTCAGTATGCTCCCCTTCAAGATAGCTCCCTCAGCTTGCAATACACATCTCTCTATGGCTGTACAAAGCATGGAACACTGGCTGCAAGTCATTTGTGCCAACCACCTTCAATGTGTTGGTCGCAGCTGATTGGAGAGCGCCTGCGTCAATGAAGCCAAGACCCATAGAATTTCTAACCAATTGTGGGATGAAATTGCTCCCACATCCTACCTATTCACTGGACCTCACACCTTATGACTTCATACTGTTTCCCAGATGAAGTTCCATTTGAAAGGCCACAGCTTTGTCAATGCAGGCATTCTCCAATCACCAGCAACCAACGCATTAAAGGTGGTCGCCAAGAATGGCCTACAGTGTTCCGTGCTCTTTATAAACGTGGGGAGATATGTATTGCAAGCTAAGGGAGCTAGTTTGAAGGGGAGCATACTGAAACCTAACTTGTATACCTAGTTTTCACATAAAAAGGCCAATCCTAGAACTTTTTGATGGGTCCTCATAAGCTGCTGGTAGCCCAAATGCAAAAACTGGAAATATGGATCTTGCTGTCACATAGCAATGTACAGGGTGGTCATAATTAAACTTCCCCTATTCAGAGACCTCTGGAGAATCATGTAGTGGGTGAAACACACTAAAACTTGGGAATTGGGTAATGGAAGGCATGTAGAAGAGAATGGCACAAGAAAAAAATATTTCATATTTCCACCACCAGGAGAAAAAGTGGTGCTGTAATTTATTATTGGTCAATGGAGCAATTGCTCTACATGGTTTCCATTGGTAATCACAATTTGCTCAAACTGAGTAATCGTGTTTTCAACGATGGAATGGAGCATATTGTCAGTAACGTTTCTCACATGGCGTATGATGCTGTGCATTAGATTTGCCAAGTTCTTAATGTTTTCATGGTATACAAAGTCCTTAAGATTGGTGTTCTTGAAGTGTCGCTACTGCATTACTACCTTTCTGGTAGTAAAACTTTATCATCAACGGATACTCTGGTACCCTGAATGGTACTGTGAGACTGTTTCTGATCATTCAAAGCCTTCTTATAGTAGGGGGTCAGTCACAGCACCACTTTCCCCCTGGTAGTGAAAATGTGAACTAATTTTTTTCCCGTGCCATTCTCTTCCACATGTCTTCCTTTACCAAATTCCTGAGTTTTAATGTGTTTCACCCACTACACAATTCTCCAGAGGTCTCTGAATAGGGGAAGTTTAATTATGACCAACCTGTATTTAAAAAAAAACAGGGCAATCCATTGTGACATCCCACCTCCTGGATGGATCCCTTCCATGTTGAACTTCAAAATGACTTTGCTTTTATACCACATCCAATAAGGAAAGAAAACAGGCCAGGTTTCAAATGAAGATTGAACAAATGCACTCCTTCCAGTTTCTTACTTGCCATGCACTTTTTAAGTGTGGTTAGTTTAAATTGAAGAGGAATATATGAGGGGTAGTTAGATACAACCAAGGGAACACATACATGCACATAATTGGCATATAGCTTTCTTGCAAAACATGCCAAATTCAAAATAAAATGACACCAGCAAAACTTGCATCAAGTCATTTCCCAAAATTGAAATCACTCTCTCTTCCAACTTCAATGGATTTTCAACAATTCTCAAAGCATTGGATACATACATGGGTAACCATGGTTCAATCCACTCTTCTCATTTCCAGCTTTGCTATTTATCTTCCTATTCTACCCATGCTTCAACAAGCACATCAATATTGAAAAATTATGACTACAGATGCCTCTATATATTATATAAAAGAGCCTGTTTTATGAACTCTATTCAATACCAGAACACTCATAAGTACAAAGCCCCAGTCATTGGGCATCTCCCATCTTTCCTCTGCTTCCCATAAAACAAGGTCATATCATGTAATTCAGAAAATTTATAGCAAGGGACCTACACCCTCATATACCTTGGAATTAGGGACAATAGTGACAGCATTGAAATTCATATATCATGGCAATGAATACATCATGACACTCCACCAAAATATGAAAGAAGTCACCAAGTACATGCACAGTCACCACACTCTACCAGCACTGCAGTAAATCAAGAAGCACCTTTCCCCATTGGAAGATAAAATACCCAGTGATGGACCTGTTCCCAGTTACATGCCACGGCACATAAAAATTTCAATAGCTAAGCATGACATAAATTATATTCCAAACTTATGTCCTTGGAGAGGTGTGCATGCTTAATTATTTTAATTTTTATGCACCATGGATGACCACTAGGTATATTAGTTGATGTGATAGGCATTATACAAGTCCCAGCAAGTAGTCATCCCTTTCTTGAAAGAAACTATCCTCTCCAAAAACGGAATCTGGAAATGGCCTTTCACATTTACTATTTCAGCAAATAACCCATTGTTGCAAATGAAAATGGACAAAAATTAAGGTTGATCAGCTGCCATTCAGATAAATGACATGACAATAAATGACATCAGAGAAATGATAAATGGCCCCATTGAACGGAGTAGCCAAAACCTTTCTATGTATCACCCAATTGTTCCTGGATATATAATAGGTCTAACAATAGGCCCAATGCTAGAGAAGGTTATTGATCTATAGATGACTGTCCACATACCAGGTATCTCCCCACACATGCAGATATTCTCATGACTCTGATCCAAGTGATCAATTGCATTCAAGTGAATGTCAGAACAAATCTGTCTCTAAGAAGAATCTGAACCAACAGGGTTTCTTCAGTGTTTAATTCCAAAGTGGCCTAGTGTCCCAAAAGTTCATCTATCTAACCAATAAAAGCCAAAGCTAGCACTTCACTCTGAATTGAGTTTATTTCATATTCATGAACCTTAAAGTATCCCTTAGAGCAGTTAGTTAAGCATGTACCCTGCAAGGATATTGTGTTGTCACTAGGGTTAGGCCAAGACAGGTAAGGTAAGGTTAGGTTGGTATTCATTATAAATAAAAGGAATCCAAATGGATGTGACATGTTTCCAGTTGAATTCATCTGGAAACATTGGAGACTGGGGGAGTGAAATTTCTCTAGGGGGTATACACTAGACCATTACACCTTAGAGCCAGATTGGGCAATATACTCAAGGCCCAACCCAAGACAACCACCTTCACATGTGACAACTACTAATCTAAAACTACAAGGTGATATTAACCTAGGAAATGGCAATTTAAACATAATTCGAGGCGGTCGTGCCAACCCTTCGGTGAGGCAGAACTTTAGACCTGTTCTTTAAAGTTTCCAAGCCTATACAATGCTCTCCAGACATTGTCATGGTAACCGTGTAGGCATATATCTAGCTAGCTACGACTCATTGAATGCCTTATGCTACTAAAGACCACGGCAAAACTCCAGGAGAATAAATAAGTACTTGGGGGACCTGCAGAAATTAAAACTACGGCATGTTGCCATCAATCTAAGAATTCCAACTCTGAATATCCTCCTCACCGCTTTTGGAAGGGTATCGACGAGGCTCTTGTTCTTCTTATTCGTGGCCACGGTCTCTTCTGAATGGCATTTGGGTGAAAGGTGCAAACTGAGAACGTCGGAATGAGGATCCTCACTGGAATTCACATCCACGACACCCCGTGAGAAGCATGCTGCCATCTTGGACCTGAGCCTAAGCTCAAGGCCGCTTCCTATTGGTTGATTCCTCTCAATTCCCCATAGGGTTTATCCGAATGCTGTGTCCATCTTCCCTCGTCCTAGTTCTTTGAAGATTTTTTAAATTATTTTAATGTTATGAACTTTTCCTCTCAAATGGTAATATCTTTAACTAATATGCCCTTTAATAGTGTGTCTCACATCTTCATTGTAATTTTTGGATGTCAGTGATTTGGTAACATTGATGATAGTTACGAGTCGGAAGGTGTGAATGTAATTAGTGGTGTGTTCAAACTTCAATGCACTTCCATATATGTAGATAATGCTGCTTTATTTCCGGGAAATATCATGTATTTTCCCTGGAAGAAAGCTGCATTATCGGATAGTTCAAAAATCCACCCTAAACCTTCAGCTTCTGCCTGATTAAGCCCTATTTTCGAAAGCTTTGACCACACAGCAAATGCTGAAGGACTCAGGGATTGATTTCTATGGAAATGCGGAATTGCCGTGAAACTCTCCTGAATGTGGCTGAGAACATTGAAGTTATCCTGAAAGATCGAGTTGAAGCTCTCATAGCCATATGGAGGGCAAGCAGCATGGATTATCCCGAGAAGTCTTGCAAAGCGACACCACCAGAGTGTTGAAGGACAAGGAAAATGACACGGAACTCTTTAAGTGTCCCTTTTCATCTTACCATCTTTTCATCTTAAAGCTGTCAGAGACACAGCCAAGGTGCACACAAATCACTAGAAGTACATGTTTAGATTCGAAAATGAATGCGCTTCATCATGATATATAAGTGGGTTTTTTTCCTAGCTCATAGTTTAAGCTGTAGAGGGGGGGGGGGCTATCTATGAGCAACACCTGGTACCTTGTTTACTATTATATTTAAAATTTTTGAAAACCCTTTAAATGACTTCTTTCCAAATCACAATGCTATATTATAAAGCAAAAAAAAATTAACATTATTAGAAATAAATCAGGTGTGAAGGGGTTAAGCGCATCCAATTTTCAAGGGGTACGAGGTCACTCCATAAGCTACTTTTTATTTCTCACATGGACCTTATGAATGTGATATGAAGTCGCATTATCTCTTATTACTTTTCCTGCTGAAAGGGAAATTGTATGGTCACGACAGGGCTCAATTCAACTATTTGAAGAACTTGAGTAGTTCTTGGGTATCAGTTGGAACGTCCGAAAAATGTGAACATTTCATCAGTCACGGGAGGATTGTCGAGGCCAGGCGGAAAAAGCAGTGTCAACCAGCAGTAGCTTGAGTACTTGAGCGGCTGGGATGCCACGCCTACCTTCCCTTAAATCTAGAATGGTCAAAGAACGGTTATAGAACGGCTCGTCGGATTCATAGGTCGAATTTTCCAAAATTAAAGAAAATAAAGTCGAACTCGCAAAAATTATTATGAAAACGGTTGGTCAAGAAAGATAGATATGCACAAGTACATTATTTCAAAATAATTTTTGGCGGAGGCATATTACCAGAATGTTGGAAAATTCGACATTCTCCTGTCCCTCACCTCCGGCCGTTCTAGGGTTAAAAATATATATACCATCTTCTTTTTTGCAGTACCAATAAACTGCTAATTGTAATTTGTTCATCGACAAAGAGATCGAAGAGAGAACGAGATTCTTAACATAATTGAGCAATGTTGACTTGCCTTTGTTACATGCATCATATGTGGTTCGACGGAGCCTCACCGAGGTTGATGCAATTGATTTCGAAACTGCAGTCCAGTCGCAGCTCAATAGCATTTCAAGTCCAGTTTTAGTTCAGTTGCAGTTCCAGTTGGGATTTATTTGTAAAAGAAGTCGACATGAGCACAGTGGAGCTTCAGTCAGACCAAAATCTGAACTGAAACTGGAACCGAACTGCAGCTGAACTGCCGTTTTGAAATCAGTCATTTAGACGATCGTGAGCGACCGACTGGCCGACGTTAATTCTAACCACCTTCTAGAACCTTTACGTTTACGAAATTCTAGTCGAAAGTATTAGTTAGGCCTGAGCAGTAGCGTGCCCAGAAAATTCCAATGGGGGGGGGGGGGGGGGGACTAGAACTGATAGAGGAAGTATAAGTACTTCAGGTTCTAATTCTGGAGCGATGGGCTAGGTCCAAGTGAAAACGAGATCGCCAATCGCATCTTCAGGCTTTCGGCAATTTTGTGAATGTCCTGTCGTGGATGTCAAATCGGAAATTTCACAGAAAGCGAAACTCATTTTAAGTGTTCATTTCTCAACCTCACCTTTGGCAATTTACATTAGATGAAGACCGAAAGAATCAAATCGCGGATAAAAGCTACCGAAATGATGCTCTAACATTTGGTGACCGATGTCTTGCAGCCATGTGGGATACCAGGTGTTGTTATCTGGGATCCAGATGAATTAAGTCCGGTGGATCCAACACATCAGTCGTATACCTCCGACCAGGGGCGGATACAGGGGGGGGGGCGACCGCCCCCCCTATGGCTAGGTTAGCATTTGATTTATTTATGCAAAATAGCATCTGCATTAAATTTTATTGGAGCCAGTGAAATAGATATACTCAAGTTCTTACCCCAGACGAAAAATAAAAAAGGCGAAAGAACGAGGAATGGTAGTAGGCGAGGGGGGAGGGAGGGTAGGTAGGAACTTGGGAACTACCCCCCTTTTGAAAAATTTCGGTATCCGCCCTTGTGGAAATAGTTGCCGATAAGCGAGGGTGGCGGTATATTGAGGTTTGACTGCATGAAATACCGAGCCTGAAATCTTGATCTTATCGATCCTTCATTTTGAGCCAGGAATCAGTCTTCGATCCCGACTTTCTGCCAGAAAAGGTGTCAAAGACTCAACTGCCCCCACAAATCGTCTGAGTCCCCACCTGCAGAACGGAGTAGAGGGATGAAAGCAAGATGGCAGCGCCCTGGCCTCCTGCGAACAGGCCTGGCTGCCTCAAGTATGTAAGTCTGCGAGGGTTTAGATGTGAATGCTTCCATGACGCACTCGACAACGTGCGCAGTGGTCATGATTTTCTTCGTATGTAGAATCGTAGATTCGTAGATGTGAACTAGCTATAAGATTCTGCTTAAGGTAGGCGCGTATAGACCCACTATGGTGCCTCTAAAACCTCGGAATCTATGAGGTAACCTTATGTAACTTCAGTATGCTAACATTCGCTAGGAGCGATGGGGGTTACCCAAACGACCCCTCACATTGCACACAGTTAACCGGCTATGAAGCAGTCATATCAATGGGAAATTTGGAGACCCCGGTACTTTGTTGTCGTCATTATTTTCTAGATAGCTTCACTCTTAATGTTCTATTAACAGGCTTTTTCAGGCTTCCCACCAATTGTGAATGCTGCAGTTGAAAGATGGGTTTGACAAGGCTGAGCCCCTGATTCATTTTGAGTTTCATGATCCTTGCCCATGAAAATGGTGCAGGAAACTGCTAAATATTCAGGGGCAAATATATTTTAACTTAAGTTTTCTGCCACCAGGTGTCTTCAATTTAACGTCCAGGTCCCGTACTGACATAGGCCTATGGCTTAGTAGGCTTACTGCTCTCAACTGCTATCTGAAAAGTTAATGATTATTTCCATACAGAAAATCTTGAAGAGTAATCCTTTTCTGCATTGTCTATGGAAGCGGATACTACAAGCACCAACACATCAGTGGATGACAGAACAGAAGGGGAGAACCCCACCAGAGATCTCCTAGCAGATGGCATCGTTAATATGTTGAAGCCTACTGTGGATCAGATCGAGGAAAGGATCAAATTTACAAGGTATTCATTGTGCTTGGATATTGTGTTGCTGTGATGGAGATGAACTTACCAGTCATGTTGCATTGTCAAGTGATGCTGTTCCATCAGTTTTTGCATGCATTGCATTCATTTGCTATTCTTTCTTGATTTCTCCTCAGGATCAGGCAAGTTGAACTTCATCAACATATAGAAACCCTTCTCATTGATCTTCAGCGGATCTCAGAAGCTCAACCTGCACCTCTGGACTTCGAAGAATATGTAAAGAAGCTGACCAACACCAAGAGGAGGGTTATGGTCATCAATAATATTCTTCACAATGCTCAAGTGAGGATATCTAATTCTGCAAAATCTTGCTGAAGTTGTCAGGAGGAAGAATGCCATGAAGTGACATGGCAAGAAGTATCAACTCTTGTTCCAAAAATATGTGGGGTATTGAAAAAAAAACTCAAATTTTTAAAATCAATATGTCTCTGCTTTTGTTACAATTATTTTTGGCAATTTTTTCAAGAGACTTGTGAAATTTTATTCCCATTGATGGTTCCAAGGCAAGACCATCAGCAATTACTCAAAGGAAGTTGTTTTTTGAGGATAGACCCCCATGCTAGTTATCAAGTGGAGAAAACATTTTCACGCTCTAATTGAATATCATTCATACCATGTCAAACCTCACTGACTTCACTATTTGAGTGGAAGGTATCCTCAGGAGTAGGGATAGCAAAATCTGTTGCACAGGGGAGGGAGGGGCTGGTGGGAAATACTCCTAAGTGTGAGAGAGGACTTCTCACTACCCTCTCCCTCCCCCATCCAATGCTGAATTCATGTTGTGGTTTCTGGGGGAAAATAGGCAAATTTTCTCAACATTCTTTTTATTCTCTTTGGGACTCTATCCATAACCTTACAGAACACTATAACAGAGTGAACCTTTTGAAACATTCCAAAAAATAAAATATTTGAAAACTAATCTCTGTATAATGCAACATTATGCTGGAACTATTTTGGATACTTTTTCAATGCCCCAATTTCAAGAATTAAAGAAAAACTAGTTTATGGATCTGTGGACTAAATATTTATTTGAAAGATCCATTTGGAATGTCATTTAGTACTCTGACACCCTTGGCATCAGGATAATTTAAACTGATGTTTTTCATTTTTCAAGTTTAGCAAGAGATGAGGTGTGTTAAATGCTTTTGCAGATCAATCAAAATGAGTGCTGCTTATGATTAATGGTATTGCTTATCAACCTGAAAAACTAATTACCGGTACTTCAGCTGGTTTGACCACTTTACTGCCATAGGTCAAAGGGTCAGAATAGTCCCATTTTCTTTTAACATTTTTTTCTGTTGCTCTCAGTTTGAAGGATTTGGTAACTGCAAAGGTGCTGGTCTAGTGTGTGGTCAGTTTTTATTCAACAAAATTGTTCAAATCCATAAGGAGCACTGTATAAAACCCTGGACAAAACATGTTTTCCGCAAATATTAGGATTTATCTGAGGGCAGTAAAAGAATCTTCTTTTGAGAGAGTTCCATACCACAGCAGGGCATTGTGAGAAAATCTATTTTTAAAGCAAAATTGGACCTTCATTCTATGAAAGCAGGTTCAATCTGATAGCAGGAAGAGCCCAGCTAGTATCATGCAGCAAGGATTATTTTGGCAGAGTTTGTGTTGTTAGCTAGTAAGATAAAAAGGCAAGAAATGCACTTTCTGAAGCTGCAATGAGAAAACCCCCCAAAATACCTATGATTTGAAGTAGGCCATCAGAATCCCTTATGTACCTGGGGAACACCCTTGAGTTACCTGAAATCAATAATGACCTGTATTAGTTTGCTAGAAGGAATTGCAGAACTTCAACACTAAACATTGATAAGGATCACTAATTTTTTAACATGGTGATGATTCTGCCCAATACAGCCATATTTTTCTTCTTTCCAGGAACGCTTGAACCGTATACATCAGAGCATCATCAAGGAGACAAACAAGAGGAAGGCTTTTCTTGAACCATCTCCCCTTCCCTCGCCAGCTGCACCGCCTCCATCTTTCCCTCCTTCATCTGGATGACGAGGTGGAAATGGAGACACCACATTTTGACCACTTGTGCCAAGAGAGATACTCCAGTGTGTATGAACCAGCAGAAGATTCCTTTCTCCTCCTTGATGCCCTTGAGCAGGATTTGGGTGTCATAAACTCTACAATGCCGTTAATATGTCTCGAGGTCGGATGCGGCAGTGGCGTCGTGATCTCGGCACTCGGTCGCTGCTTGGAAACCCCTGCCCTCTGTCTTGGTGTGGATATCAATCCAGTTGCTTGCCACTGCACCCAAATCACAGCACAGAAGAATGGGTCCAATGTCGATGTGATATGCGCAGACCTAGCAATCCTGTTGCTCGGTCGGCTTGAATCTAGCATAGATGTCCTTATTTTCAATCCTCCATATGTGGTCACTGAATCAGCAGAAGTCCTCGAGCCAGGTCTGCCTCGGTCGTGGGCAGGTGGGAAGATGGGTCGGGAGGTGATAGACAGATTCTTACCCTGTGTTCCTAAGTTTCTATCTCCCACAGGCTTTTGCTATCTTGTTGCAATCAAAGAGAATGATCCAGATGGCATTATTAGATACTGCAAAAGCATGGGATTGTCAGGAAAAGTTATCATGAGACGCCGATGTGGGAGAGAAGATCTTTTTGTGATTAGGATTATGTTTCCTGGAATCAAAAAATGAGATGTCACGCATCCATGAGCATTATTGCACTACCATTGCGAGCTCAGTGACATAGACTTGAACATTTCTAATCAATAGTGCTCATGATTGTTGCAGGGAAGTAATCCATCTTTCCCCCCTAGTTGTCGCACAGGTGGAGGGTTTGTGTATTGGTACCAAACCTCTGTTTTATTTTCTCCCATGTTGCCATTGAACTCCCCTTGTGGTATTTTGCCTCAGAGGGAACACAGGCCAGCCCCTTGTCTGGTTCTGCTGTCACCAAAAAGCGATACTCAGAGCTTCCATGAGAGCTGTATGAGGCATGGATGTGCATGCACCACAGGAAACTCATTGGATATGTAGAGGTCACCTCATGACAAGTGAAGGAAATTAATATAATTTCTTTATGAACCTAGTCATAATGTTGAAATTTGGCATTGCAGTTACTGTAACAGTAAATCATGGTTTTCCTCTGATATGTTCATTATTAATAATGTTCATATTTCATTCAAAAAGTCAGATTCTTGGGATTTTCTGCTCAAAAAATTCATATAAATAAAGTACTGACAATAAGAAATAAATAAAATTTGTGTATGCCTAAGGGGCTCTAGCAGCAAAGTTTGCTGTCAAGATCTCATTCCACCACATTACTTATTTAGCCAGATATCCTAACAAACGACCAGTTTTCATTGAATAATGAAAGCAGGGTGTCGCCTGGCTTCAAGAAGCATCAGTATTCATCCCAACTGCTTATGAAGGATCGATAAGATCAAGATTTCAGGCTCGGTATTTCATGCAGTCAAACCTCAATATACCGCCACCCTCGCTTATCGGCAACTATTTCCACAAGGGCGGATACCGAAATTTTTCAAAAGGGGGGCAGTTCCCAAGTTCCTACCTACCCCCCCTCCCCCCTCGCCTACTACCATTCCTCGTTCTTTCGCCTTTTTATTTTTCGTCTGGGGTAAGAACTTGAGTATATCTATTTCACTGGCTCTAATAAAATTTAATGCAGATGCTATTTTGCATAAATAAATCAAATGCTAACCTAGCCATTGGGGGGGCGGTCCCCCCCCCCCCCCCCGCCCTCCTATATCTGCCACTGTATTTCCACTCGACAAATCCTCCTCATAAGCTTGTACTTGGCGATCCCCCGTTGTAGCACCACCCTCGCAAGTCGCCACCTGCCAAAACATCCTTGTTCCACATAAGTCCTCCTCGATTATTGAGCCAATAAGTATACCGCAACCTTTATCCAGTATTAACCGTTAGTACTGGATATGTTAGTATAGGATAAGTGCATGGTATAGTGCTTTAAACAAGACTATCGGAGGAGAATACGGATGACGATTGATGACTTCTCACCCGTTTAGTCTATTGCCTTTCAGAGATTTCGGCATCGTAGACATTACCGTACTGCGGTTCATTCGATGTTGCGCTACCCCGCATTATAGCGCCAAAATCGGCGGCGACCAACTGGCGTATTATCGAGGGTTGACTGGACTTGGCGAGTTTTTCGATATCGATTTCATTACCCCGTGTCTTCAAAGCAAGGTTGAAATATTCCAAGAGTTGATTTCAGGTCTTTCAGCTCTCTGGCTTGACATATTTGTCAAATTTAGGCTTTGCTCGATGCCTTATATGTTGTTGGTACGGTATTTCTCCACTTCACTCCTTGCTGTCCTCGAAGCATACGAGAGATTGAGAGCCTCGGGGATTTGCCTCTGCCTCATACTGCATCGTACACGACTGTTCGATTCCCCTGCCAGGTTTCCAATGATATTATAATTCGTGATTTGTACCGATAGCGGATGAATTCACAATGCTAGTCGTCGACGGCGCGGCGCGACAAACGTGTTCTCGTGATTCCAGCAATCCCATTGAGATGACTCGAGGGAGCAGAGCGACAGAGGCGTTATCTAGCCAGTCGAGTGGAGAGCGAACAGAAGGGGACCTCCGAATCCAAGGACTGTATACACTATTTTCGGGATGAGTTCTCACAGTCCCATGAAGGCATTGGTGCTACTGGAGTTTCGACTCCGGGGACATCAACCGGACACCATTTCATGTCATACGTAAGACCGATGGAAACTTTAGTTCTGCTGCTGTCGATAGGGCCATAGAAAATATCAATTTGTATTAAAAGGGTGTGTGAACTCTTCACAAAAGCACCGCGGGGACAGATCGACAGATCTTGACCAAACCGGCAGCGGGAGTCATGGCCGCGATCACTGGCGCGGTGTGGTTGGTGCCCGTCAAGGACATTCATACTGGTGGCTCTGGCCACGTGCATTGTTTTTCACTTGACTCGGAGACCTGTGCTAGGGATGTTCCTCGTGCACGAGTGTTTAAGTCAAGTGGAAAGTTGCCCAGCTCTCGTGAAAAACAGCGATTCGGCTCGTAGAACCGAACTTCGAACTAGTTTTCATCGTGCAGGCAGGCATCCTAACCATTAGGCGAGACCATGGACATTCTTGTTGTCAGTTGTACTTTCGGTTCTGAAATAGCTAAGGCAGCAATATATTTCGGGGATCGTGGGAATGGAGACTAAATCTTAGAAATATCCACAACAGGGTATTGGTAGGCCTAGGCCAAGAGATATGCCTACATGGGATGGTTTAGAGCACTATCCAATTCTGAAATATACCGAAATGCAGCAGTGACAAGATTAGGCACTGGTTTCCCTTGATACTGAAGAATTAGATTTATTAACCCCTCAAGCCGTTTTCACCTACACCGTACATTCATCACTTAGGAGGTAGAGTCAAAACTCAGGGCTTGAAGGGTTAACCAGGGAGATTTAAGGTTTAGGAACTCAAATAATGTGAGTTCTGTACTGAACCATCACCCATCTTAAGAGATTTCCATGGAAAATTTATTTGAAAGGAACACTTTCTTGATGGGTGCATCTTGGTCATGTTTGCAAGGTTCACAATGTTCTAGAATAAATCTTCAAGGATAAAAAAAAAGTATTTTTGCAATATTCATTCCTTGTTCAGGCAAGAAAGCTTTCTGGTTTGAATGAATCCTTATCCTGACAGCCTCTATAACCTTTTGAATCATGTGTCAGGAGAAATTAATATTTTAGTTTTCATGCAGTATCCAATAGTTATTCATCTGATGGAATTCCTGCATCCAATAAATTTAGACAGGAAGGAATGTCGCCAAACCATTAGCAATGATTTTGGAGAAAATATTCCAAATAGTATTGCCAATAAAATAGAATAAGTACTCTCATGGAGGAAGCAGTTATGTTACATGAGGATACCCACTAATTAAAATGCGATCCATTGAGAGAATTTGGTCAGTGATTTCCACCAGACTCTCTTCATCCCTGAGTCTCTGGCAATGCAATCTTGTTCATTAGGGTTCAAATGCGATTGGAACTGCTTTGTTGCTGTGGCTGTTTTTAAACAATGGTGAACTGTGACATGTCAATGTAGATTAATTTTGCTTGCCCAAGGAGAGCATGACTAAGATTAAGTAAGTAAGACTTAGCTCATGCTCTCCTGCTGCTTTGCTGGTATAGTAATTTGTGATTGAATTCATACCACTTGTAACATGCTCTCCATTGACATTATCATTTCTGTTGGGCAAGATATTCCTTTGCCTCTGGTTACAATATAGAAGTAACATTGCACAATATGAGAGGTGGTACAAATTCATTTGAAAATCACTGGAATAGGAGTTCTTTGATTGACCAATCTAGTAAGAAAGTTATTACCTATTTTCCATGTATATTGTTTCTGAAATCTCTCACAGATATATAATAGATGTGTTCAATGGCCCAGAAAGCAGTCAAACTGTCAAATGGACTTTATATACCCCTTCTTGGCTTGGGAACTTGGCGGGTAAGTTCTAGGCTGAGAACGGTGAAATTTTTTCATATATTGCCTTAATTAATATAGTCTATCCATAGGATAAAATGTATATTGTTTGAAGTACTGATACTTATGAGACTGGATATATAGAGTAGTAAAGTAGTAATTATTGCATTTGGTGAAAAAATGGTAGAGATTACAACTTGGTCATTATGATGAGCAGATATTAGTTTTTGAGGACTCTGTTCGTATGCTTTACCTGAGACAGAGAAGAGCATAGATTAATTTTTGTATTTGTTCATATTGTGAATGCTATATACACTGTGCTGCCATTGAAAACATTGCCTTTGCTTTGTTAATGCAAGGTTTATGATAGCATGATCCTTTGAGAGTCTGATAGCTGATATTTACAATGGTAGCAGTACATAATCATGTTTTTCATCAGAAACTGCCCCTAGAATCCTTGCTTGTAAAAACTCAAAAAGGTTAAATTGCCCAAAATTTATGGTGTTACAATTTTCATTTTTCATAAGTTCTAACAAAAGTTATACAATTTTCAAAGTTGGTACTAAGGAGATGTAAATCAGACAATGCTACACTAATTAGTTAAAATTACAGCTAAATAATTAAGTTTCATGATTATTTCCAACGGGAAAGCAATCTTCAGTGTCTGAAGTATAGTTTGAGCCTATTTTTGCAAAAATGAGGTTTTTTTTTGGAAAATTTTTTTACCTGGGGTATTGCTACCTTAAAGCTGTCAGAGACACAGTCAGGGTGCACACAAATTACTAGAAATACATTTTTAGATTTGAAAATGAATATTCTTTTTTGTGACTTGAGTTTTTTTTCCTAGCTCTCATAGTTTAGGCTATGGAGGGGGGAACTATGAATGTGCAACACCTGGTACACCTGCCAGTTATTTGAATGGTTAATTCCAGGTGTAATAAGTGTTCACAAGGTGATTCCATGCTTGAAGTTCTTTTTAGCCTTTAGTACCTTAAATTTGGGTCAGTGATTAGGATGCATGTTGCCTGATTCTACATTCCAACCCCAGTTAGAACCATGATCAGGCATGAATAAAAGCCCCTCATTTGCTGTGAGTGTTAGGAGTAGCATATCTAGGAAACAGATTAACTTGATACCTAGTTATTGTTGATTGGAATCTTAGTATATGATTGATTCCAGAATTCAAAAAAATTTGCTCCTGCATGATAAAATTGAATTGTCATCCTAGAGCTACAAAGGAGATGCTGTTCAAGCTGTGAAGTGTGCCATAGACATAGGATATCGTCATGTGGACACTGCATATTTATATGAGAATGAAAGGGAAGTTGGTGAAGCTGTGCATGAGAAGATCAAAGATGGCACTGTGAAGAGGGAGGATATTTTCATTGTAACAAAGGCAAGAAATTGAAATTCAATTTCCATATCAGGCTATGAGTAGATTCCCCTTGGCTTTCTTATGATTCTCTTGTTTTGTGGCTGTTGTCTTCAATTCCTTCAATGATGCCAATTACTAGTTCTTGTAGGGATGAACCTCTAGAGATTCAAATATTTTCATGTTCATGCATATGAGTTGCAGTGTTGGATGAGGTTCCAAGTTTTCCATTTTTATGTTAATAGCTGGATGAGGTGTGGATCATGAGCACTTTTTGGGATGCTTCTTCTTTCAGTTGTGGAATACCCACCACCCCAAGAACAGTGTGTTGAAAGCACTGAAGAATCAACTTGCAGCCCTGAAGATGGATTATGTGGACTTGTACCTGATCCATTGGCCAATGCATGTAATGTGATTCATGCTGTCAATTCAATGAGATTAGAATATTTTAAAATTGGCTTTTCCTCCTCATGGAACTTGCTTATATTTTCTGTCAATGCCTGCCAATGTCCTGCCAATATCTGTGAGGTTTTAAAATATCTCAATATGTCAACTGCACATGATTCAACTTACAATCTCCATAGACTCTTATGATTAAATTAAGATATATATTTTCCCTTCTCAGTTATAGAGGGAGAAATACTGGGTGATTTCATGAATTTGAATAATTGATGAAATCACCCAGAATAATTTGCTTACATTTTTTAAAAGTAATTATTTGGTGAAACACAGTTTTTCTCTTTTGTAACAATTGGCTTTACTGGGATTAGAAGTCAGGCATTTTGATCAGATCAACAATGGTGGCAAAGGATAGATGAACTCGGTTAAAACAGTCTCAGATGTAACTAGACCTATCTCTAGAAGTCTGTAGCATCAAATAAGGCCTTCCCCCAGCATAAAGACCATGTGATACATGTATTTATACCTCTCCTATAGTGAGCTTGGGTGTTGCTAGAACTTCAACTGTAGCAAAGTAAATTTTTGTACCACTGACGAAATTGACAATGTTATTGAGTTATTAATTCATCATGCTCTGCTATGACTGGAAATTTCATTGTTGTGCACAATGACATTTGTTGAATCCTAACTTTCCTTTTCCCATTGTCTGCATTCCCTTGAGAGTCTTGTGCATGGGCTGTGTGTGACTGAGAGAGTGTACTAAGGAAGGGAAAATCCTGTCATCAAGAGATCTTATCTTAAGCCTCAGTTGCTATTTATAGTTCTTGTTGATACCACACCTTGAGGTAACTAAAAGGGGAAAGCCTTAACAATAGAGAAGACAGACATGATTCATTTGATAGAAAATTAGAGAAGTGATGCAGGTGTTGATCATAAACATGTTCTTCCAAGCTTATCTGTTTTAATGATTGAGGAGAGTGCAACCTTGGTTATCATGAACCTTGGCTTGATTATTTTTCTTGTTCCTTCAATGATGTTATGACTGAGCTTGACTGTCCTACTTTAAAAATAGTTTTAATTAGCACTAGACCTACTTTTCTGGAAAATTAGTTGAACTAAGTTCCTAAAAAGGCAATTTCAGCAAACTTCAAACAATCTAAGGATAATGCTGGTGTTAAGTTAGAGTCCATAAGAACTTGTGTCTGAAGGAGAGGGACTTATTTAAGATGAACTGATGATGACTGGCTGAATTTGATTAAACTTGGCATGTTTCACTCCTTGATTTGGTTTGTTTCAGGAAGGAGATGACTTCCCAAATGACAAAGATGAGAAACTGATATGTACAGATAACCTAGTTGACACATGGAAAGGAATGGAAGAATGTGTGGCAAAAGGTTTGACCAAGTCCATTGGCATATCCAACTTCAATAGCCAGCAAGTTGATCGCATCCTGTCCCAAGCCAAAATCCCACCTGTTGTGAACCAGGTACAAACTCAAGTACATTTTATCTTTCAGCACTTATAGCATTGAATAATTGTATTTTAAGTGAATTGTAAGAATATTCAATACTCTACATGCAACTCTGATGAATTAATAGTTGATTTTAAACTTAATAATATTTGTATATGCAATTAATACATGTAAAGTATTTGATAGGGTTTTTTAATATCTGTATGGTTTTCTCTAAATCTCTGTCTGGTAAGATGCTATTTCATTGCATGGGTGGGGTGAACATCTGTTAGGGAGGGGACACCATCCTGTTACATTTGAACCAAGACAGGTGGAGTGCCATCCATGGTTGAATCAAGAGAAGCTTTTAGCTCATCATAAGAAGCATGGAATAGTGTTGACAGCCTACAGTCCCTTGGGTTCCCCTGGAAGACTTCCTGTAGATAAAAATCGTCCAGTACTCATGAAAGACCCCACTATCCTTGCCTTAGCTGAAAAATATAGTAAGACTCCTGCCCAGTTTCTCATTCGATATCAGGTGAGTTCCCATCAAAAATTCAAGTAGAATATCCATTGTATAAATTAAATTTTTTTACTTCTCAGCCCATGCTTTGATTTTGAACATTGGTCATCAAATACAGTTAGATATCAGATCTTTATCCTTTGTTGCTTCCTGGCATCATGCTGATTTCATTGGTTGAATAAATGGTTTTCTCAAATGCATATTATCATATATATCCATCATGTTGTATACAAAATTTCAAGATTGGAAAGAAGTCACATATTCACAAAGCACTAGGAAGTGTCTTCAACTTTCTTGGCTAGCATGATGTTTTCATTATTTCATTTAAGAGGCTTTTGCATAGTCAATTTTTATGTGCTTTTTTGTATATAAGCTGATCATGCAATTATACATGCTTAAAATCTTCTGTTCTGGATGTTCTTTAGCCACTGAAGTACTTTTTTTCCATTAATTTTTGTAGCATGTGTTGCTTAATGAACTACCATGTATTTTGTTGTCAACCTAACTGAGGTTGCTTGCATAGTTTTACAATTTCTTAATATAGCATGAAAACTGATATACTCCCTCTATTGAAAGTGAATCAGTAGCTGATCCTAATGGAGGTTAAAGTCTTCTTATTGTTAAATTGAAAATTTTTCAATTTTATAAATGTTATTGCAGTTGCTAGAATGTAGCAGTTGGATATAGCTACTTATCAAAATGAACCAATTTTGCATTTTGGAGTGTGAGAGAAATGACCATTTTCCACATTAAATAAATTTTGACTTTTTTTGGGAATTTGGAAAGGTTTCCTCATTATGGACACCCTATGCTTCTCAGTAATCTTCTAAAAGCATATGGTATTGTTTTCCAATCTATTTTTCTCCTAGTTAATTGCTGCTTTTGAATCTGCCTGTAAACCTAATTTGGACATAATGAGTGCTGATCTTAAAATAGCATTTAGGTGAAGCATTAAATGGAGAGTAAGAGAGAACTTATTTTTGAGCAAGATAATTCATCAGCTTGGGGGGTGTCAGAAACATCAAACACTTCTGCTTGATAAATGGTATATTATATTTTAAAATCGTGCATCAGGAGTGCCACCAGTCTGTCAAGAAGGGTTTAATGGAATCTGGACTATCTTGTCTTGATAGTGACTTGAACTTCTCTTAGTAACTGTTAAATGAGACTTAATCTGTCTATTTACCCATATTTTAGAGTTATTATTAAAAGATAGAGATATAGCCAAGATGTTGGGGTCTGATATTGCTGTGTCTGTTATCAAATTCTGTATATTGGAAAGGAAACAATTTGATAATTTCATAGTCCTTCATTCATTTAGCTTCAAAGAGGCATTGTCTGCATCCCGAAGTCCCGGACACCAGAGAGGATTAAATCGAACTTTGAAGTCTTTGACTTTGACATTGCATCAGAGGACATGGAGACCCTTAATACCCTTGGAATTCTACATAAATACCGATACTGCACTTTTGATTCGTGAGTTTCAATGTTTGCCTAGGATTGCTTTCCACTTGTACTTCTTATTAGTTTATAAATGTTGTGACATGAATGCTCTACTTCTTTTCAGGGCTAAGGATCATCCAGAATGGCCATTCAATATCGATTTCTAGGTGTGTGATGACTGCCTTGATCCTGGAGTACACTCCTGCAGAATTTGCATGGGAGAATCCCAGTTAGGAATGGTAGTCACCTAAGAGTGTCATGCCTTGAAAAAAAAATGCAAGGTTGAATTTGATCATGAAGCTGATGAGGAATTTCATCCACCCTTTTTTTGGCTATTTTTTATTATTTTAAATTCAGTTAAATTTAAATTATGTACAAAAAATATGTTATATATATGCCAAATATATATATGCCAAACCTTGAATTACTTCATTTACAAAATTCTCTATTCATTTGAAATTTTGAATGGGTATTCTATGATGGCATGCATTAATTGCTGTTGTTGACATTTATGGAGAAAAGGGCTGCCACCCTTTATATGAAAATAAGAATTTGAAACTTGTCTTTGTTGCAACTCTGTCCTAGATTCCAAGTAAAAACCCTATTTATGCAAAGAGTAGGAACTTGATCAAACCCTACTGTGCTTGTTTCCTCAATTTTCTCACTAGGCAAGAGTATAATTTTTCCTTGGGAAAGATTTTAGATCCTTGTGCATTATAGTAGCTAAGAAACTATTAAAATCTCTAAAAGCTCTACAATGTGTCTTCAAAAGAAAAAGGCCATAACAATCTTTTTTGATATCTCCACCCTATATCATGTGAGCCTCATGCTTTCCTGCATATGGAATCTCAGATGAATAAGAAAATTTTCTCTTTTGATGCAGTGAAAATTGTAGTGAGCAGGTAATTTACACTGCTTCTCACAAGGTACATAATTTCAGCATGCTTCTAGTTCTGGTCAAATCTAAAAATTTTTTATTATAATTTTTGTAGGCCTGAATCTGTACTTCTCTTGCACTTTTTGTCAAGCAATGAGTTGCAGGTTTCAAATTATGTGCAATATTTGGGATTCAGTGAGGAGGACAAGTACCTGATAAAAGACTTGCAAGAGATAAATGGGTGCAATGCTTGTCAGTTTTATGACTATGCAACATGAAGCAACAATTGGTCATGTGGATTTTTGTTTAAAAAATAGATGAAATTCAGTCAACAAAGAATATTTGAAAGAATTGGTCATGATTCTACCTTCAATGCATCTTGCCATGTGGCAAATTTCTCCTGAAATTTGCATTCACCATTCATCAGTGCATTCCATTATTCACAAGGCCTGATCCTGAAGTGCCTGAATAGGAAGCATGCCCTGTAATTGAAAGCTACAAACAAGTTCACCTGTTTCACTCATTCTTGGCTGCTTCTGAAGATAAACCCTGCTTATTGCAAAAGCTTGACCTGGTTCACAGATTAAAAAGTTTTTACTGTTGTCTTGCCCAATGCCCAGAATGAGAGAGCAATCAGTTGACTGCCACTTCTTCCAGCAGGACAGTGCATTTGCCCACAGAGTACACAAGTTCAATTTTTTGGAATGAGAAACACTGGACTTAATTTTCCCTAAAATTTGACCTAACAGCCCAGACCTGAATCTGGTGGATCCCAGAATTTGGTATGTGCTGTAGAACAGAGTACATCTTACCAAGACATGGGACCTTGACTACATGAAGGAGCACCTGGTGGTGCCACCAGGAACAGGGTATCATTAATAGGGTGTCTCGTAAGTGTTGCCAACATCTCAGAGCTTGCACTTGTGTTGAAGGTGGACATATCCAATATCAACATTAAGTTCTTGAGGTGCATTGCCATAAACTGGCAGAAATCTTATTCATGTCATGTGCAAGAAACATGAGGCTTAGAAGATATTGGTAGGAAAGATTTTTGCAAATAAACTGGTGCCCTTTAATTTTAAAATGCAAAACAATTGTAATGGCTCATGATGATAGGAAAGAAAATAAAGTGGTGCCTCATTTTGTTTTGAGACACAGCATAGTTCCACATGTAGTTCTCTTCTGTTGCTCTCCCATGGAAATGCCCTCTCCTACCATATTTGATGTGATGAACTCTGTTTATTCTGGTATTTAGGTCCCAGTGCATGTTGCTTGATATGCTTGCTTTTTTTTATATGGACCAGGTGCGATGCATAGATAGCCCCTCTCCACAGCCTAAACTAAAGAGCTAGAAGAGAAAAACTAATACACCATGAAAACAAGGATTCATTTTTCAGTTTATTCCTCTACTTTTAGTACACAATATGCTGTGTCCTGACAACTTCCAAGATGAGTAGCATAAGATGGCAAGACTCTTGAAGAGTTCCATGTTGTCTTTCATTTCCCTCAACACTGGTGATATCGCTTTTCGAGGTTACCTGGTAAAATCGATGTTGTCTATTTGTGTGCGTGAGAGTTGCAGCTAGTTTTTTCAGCATAGCCCCTTTGTTCTCTGCTGTTTTCAAGCCAAGGGGGCTTCCAGACCATTCCACATTTCCAAAGAAGTTGTCTTATCTTTTTTGCAACCCATTTTCAGCTTTGGCATCATGAGCTTGTTGCTACATAATTGCAAAGATGCAATCAATGAATCTAATTTAACAATCATTTGGCATCTGAATTCACCAAATGGGTTGGTTAGAATCAAAATCGAATGAGGATTCCAAAAATATCCTTATTGCTTTCCTAATAATTATAGCTTAGGCTGTGAAAGAGGGGGGTTTTTATGTGCAACACCTGATAGATATTTGTAATTCTTGTCATTGTGGTGTTTTGTGAGTTAGAGTGCAATATGAGTGCGATTCTTGTCATTGTGGTGCTGTATGGGTTTGAGTGCAAACTCATAAACTGTTGATTGTGATTCTTCCCCTATTGTGTTGTTTCCTGATGCTTAGTGCAAAAACTCTGATTTTGAGATCAAGGCAGCAGAGAGCCTTGGGAAATTTCACTTGTGCTCATAATGCTTTAGTTCCAAAATGTAGAAATGTCTAAGATTTTGACCGTCAAGGCACTGTATACATGTTTCACGTACTGTATCCATTTCCTCAGGAAAATCAACCTGAACAATTACTATTTTCGATTCTTCTACCTTATAAAGTTAATTGAAATTAAAGCTTTTTTTTTCGAGACACTGCATATTCAATTACGCGGTTCATCCCAGGATGACAGAAGACAGAGCCTTCGGTGACAGAAGGCTGTCAGCCTTCTGTCACCAAAGACTCTTGCAAGAAGTGGCGAGACGTCCAAAGATAGACCACCCTTTTTTTTATTACCCGAATTTGTCACCGTGCCGGGGGTCTAATGGCAACTTGGCTGATTAGAGTAACGATTTCTTGATGACGGTACCTTATTTATAGGAAATGAAGTACTGGAGAAGATTGTATGTATACCTTACGTAAATGGGAGGGTCTGAGGGGAAAGCCCCATGGAATTTTTTTGTGTGCAATATTTGACTGTCTCGATATTCTGGCGCATACATAAGCACCTTCAGTTACTCATGTGCTTTGAAAACGTCGAATGCAAAATAATCACGTGGAAGACATCGAGGATTAGGAGTTGAGCTCCAGCTCAAATTCAGGACTGCTTAGCGTTGATTATATCGGTACGGTATATCATTGCGCTATCTAGACCTCCCGTCAATGTGAACCGAGAGCCGCCTGTATCTCGTACGTCTCATCTCTCCCTTTCTCTGACTGAATTTGATCAGTGGAAGCCTTCGCGATGCAAGTAGCCGTTGCCGTGGTGGCAAGGACGTCAATTGGTAAAACTGCAAGGGGGGGGGCAAAGAAGCTATGCAACTTGAAAAAAAAAATGTTCAGCGAGAAATATCGCCTACTTCATTTTCGCGAATTTTACGAGGCAAAGTCAATCGCGAAATTGAATTGCTTCTGAATTTTTTTTTCTTGTATGGATGAGCCAATGACCAAGACGTAGTTGGTCCAGTTGGTGAAATTCAAAATTAACGAAATTACAAATTAAAAAAAGTAGGATTTTGCGAAATTAAATCGGCGGCAGAAATCCTCCCTCCGTTGTCATGCAAAGTTGGACGCAAGAAGAATGGTATTTTACCCATAACTGCATGATATATGAAAACCTTGGAGAAAAAAAAAAAATTTCACATACATTTTCTTAAAGGTACGTAAGATATTTTGCATCAAACTACCCTAATTCGGTAAATTTAGTGCAATTTTGGGTTTTTGTCAAATTGGAAGAAATTTGTCAAAATTAAAACTGCTACATGTATAATTTGTATTAAGAAAAAAGAAAAAAAACCTCAGACAAGATGTGAGATGGATATATGAGAACTAATGCATGACAAAGTTTTTTTTTTCAGGCACGAAATACAATAATAAAAATATTACGCAGATCATGGTGAAATAAGGCAAAAAAAGGCCTTGACTTGGCTACAGTACTGACCTGGTGTTTTCAGAAAACTGCCAGTTGGAAAACAAATCTGCATTTAGAAAGTATTGGTGTTCTTCCCAATCGGGAACATGAAGGATGTTTCAGAATTTCCCCATTTGCCACATTGTGAGACTTAAGCCATTTCATATATTAAAATTATTCTGCTATGTTCCATATGTAGCACGCTATGCAGTAAAGGGTTAATTAGATGAAACTACACCCATGGTTGCACTCGGCAGCAGAAAATCTCTCAAATGAAAGTTCAAGAGGCGTAAAGGAGATTCGCAGTTCTCTGATTCAGCAAACCATTTTAACGCCCAAGAAATTGATGGAATTTACCGCAAAAGCAAATGGCGACGAGCTTCCAATTTTTGCGAATTCGTCGATCAATTTACTCCGTGTTCGCTTTCGGTGCGGTCAATGGCAGACGACTCGATTTTTTTTTTTTTACTCTCTTCATGGCGGAGAGGAGTGTCTCGGCTCGAGCAGTAGTCCAAGGCAGAGTTAAAACGGGGTCGATTGGCTTCAAGTTTCGAGAGTGCATCTCTTGAGATCATGAATGCTCTGAGATTTAACACGCAAGAAAAGAACCAGGAGCAATGAAAATTATGCCGCACGAGAGCTACAAAGGCAGACTTTCAGGCTATTACATTATGGGAAATAAAGGAGGCTATCAAAAATCGCTCCAAGACACAAGGCGGCAACTGCTCCCCCTTGCCCCACCGAAATGACGTCCCTGCGCGGCGGGACAAATTCCGCTTACACCCGGCCGATCGGGTATGAACACGGAGCCGCGCGTCAGTGGCGTCATCTAGGCCTAAACGCGAGGCACCGTCCGACCCGGCTTGCGGGAATCATGGCCGCCGTCACAAACGCACAGTGCAGTTAGTCAAGTCGTGATGGATCGTGTCAACCCTGTCGCTCTCGCCGTGCAGCGGTTTGGCGTTTTGCCTTGGATTTGTTTAGCAATTTCCTTCCTGTGGCCAATCACTTCGACGATTATCCTAGGCCGTAGACGTTCCTTTCGCCAGTAGTGCTTTGGGTTTTGAATTATTTATCTTGCTGAATTTCAGAGTGGTTGTATTATGTAGGTCTATTCCTCGGCCCATCAGTTTGCCGGGTGAGTAAACCTAGGCCAAGACAATGTCTATGTGCATATATTCTTGTGAAACCTGTGTGTAATTTGCAGGCTTAATCATAAATACTGCAACGTGGTTGTCAGTGGTTGTGTCACAAGAGGACTTATAGACCCCCCCCCCATCATTTAATATTTGATTCATTACCCATTTCCATTTGGTGAGTAAATTTTTACAGTCTCTCTCGTTCCATGAGTCTCAATTTTTTCTTCAGAAAAATCATGTTCCTAATGGTTTGGATATGATTGCAGCTGCTTTGTTGCCATTGCAAGTTGCTAAGTAATGGGAGTCTGAGATATTTAAGCATTTGAAAATTTTTTATTGCCCTGGGAGAGGCCTGAAAAAGACAGAATCAGCAAGCATACACTTCAGCCTCTTTGCTGGCACATTCATTTGCAATTGAATTTGTACCTCTTTTAACAAGCCCCCTTAGGGATATTAGAATCATGAGAGATATATCCTCATCTTGAATGCATCACACAAATAAAATTGCACCATATGAAAGGTGATACAAATTCATTTGCATGGCACTGAAATGAGATTTCTTTGATTGACCACCCTGGTATGAAGAACTTTCATTATCTCTTTTCTAGGAGTATTGAAAATTGAAACCACTTTCAGGTACAAATTCATGTGTCCAATGACCCAGAAAACAGTCAAGCTGTCAAATGGACTTCACATGCCTCTGGTTGGCTTGGGAACTTGGCAGGTATGTTCAGCGGAAAACATTGGTTTATTTCATGTTTACTACATATAAAAATGGCCTATCCCATTCAGCATACTGTTGTACATTGCTTGCATTACGAACATTGCTTGTGTGATGTGGAGGTAATCAGAGGGATGTTAGAGCAAGCATTTCTTGGATTAGGCAGGGTACCCTGCAAAATGTGAAAGCACATCTGCCCAACATGCTTCTACTGCTCTCTGACATGCTTTCTCCTCCAGGGACTAGGCCATCAATCCCCTCCCTCCATCAATAATCCCAATCACCCCCTCCTCCCCCATGGTCAACATGAATATGTTTTCTTTCAGCCTAGGTCAACCCTCATGAATACATGTTGTGATAAATGGGTAATGATGAAGATGGCGCTGGTGATGGGGGGAAAGTAAAGAAACATTTTCATACAGTAAGAGAGTTTCCTTCATTCAACACATGCCTCTCCCCCCCCCTTGAACCCTTGCTCAGCCCCTTCTCCCCCCTCTATATGTGAGCCCCCTATAACTCCTGAGGGCTGAACAGCTGTGTTACTTGTAGTGTTAGTTTCAAGGATTTATCATGGAGAATCCTATATTAAGTGTAAACATATCACATGTTTGAAAAGCCTATTCAAGCCATCAGCTGTTCAAAATGCTGTAGCAATTGATATAATTTTTATATCTAAAGTGTTCATTAGATATGTAAGATATGTGTCAGGGTTCTCTCTCCCTTTACATCACAATGGATGTGATCTGATTGGTAGATCCGATGTCAGCATGTATCTTCCACAAGAGTTGCATATTTTTTTAAGAATCTCCAATTGACACCTGTAGCAGATTTATATTCCCTGTTGCCAGAAGGTTTGTCTTCTTTACTAGGCAGGCATGTATTAATGCTGAAGGTGAGTAGCAAGGGAGTGGAGATGATTGGAAAATGATGGCCGATTATTCTTACCTGCCTGTTCAGATTTTGAATTTCAGGTGTAAATGTTCACAACATGAAAAAATACCCTCATTTGAATTAGTCTTTGGCTGTTAGTACCTGAAATATTGGTCAGTGGTCAGGATGCAGGTTGCCTGATTCCACAGTAATTGTCTGAACCCTGATTAGATGAACCAATAACAGGCCTGAAATAATAGTCCCTCGATGACTGAAAGTTGTTTATGAGCAGCAAATCCAGGATACAGAGTGACCTAATATATGGCAATTGTTGATAGGAAGGTTAATTTAGGATTGATTTCAGAATGGACAAAATGTGTTCCTGCAAAATACAATTGCATTGTCATTCTAGAGTTCAGAAGGAGAAGCTGCAGAGGCTGTGAAGTATGCCATCAATGTAGGATATCGTCATGTGGATACAGCATCTGTGTATGAGAATGAAAAGGAAGTTGGAGAAGCTGTGCATGAGAAGATCAAAGATGGCACTGTGAAGAGGGAGGATATTTTTATTGTAACAAAGGCAAGAAATTGAAATTCAGTTTCTGTATCAGGCTATGAGTAGGTTCCCCTTGGTTTTCTTATGATTCTCATGTTTTGTGGCTATTATCTTCAATTTCTTCAATGATACCAATTACTGGTACTTGTAGGTATGAACCCCTAGAGATTCAAATATTTTCATGTTCATGTATATGATTCATTGTTGCAAGTTCCACATTTTCCCTTTTTGATGGTAATGAGCCATGGGTCATTAATACCTTTTGGGATGCTTCTTTCAGTTGTGGAATACCCACCACCACAGAAACAGTGTATTGAAAGCACTGAAGAATCAGCTTGCAGCCCTGAAGATGGATTATGTGGACTTGTACCTGATCCATTGGCCAATGAGCTTCAAGGTATGTAGCATCATCAGGGCCATTTGGTTAGATTAAGAGGTTAATTAATTGACCTTCAACCCATTTCAGTATTAGTGCTGATGTTCCCTTTTAATAGATCAATTGGACCAGATTACATGAACTGATCATATTTACATGTTATTATGATATTAAATTCTGAATCTTTTGATCCCTTTGCCTGGTTTAGTTAGGGAAGTATTGGTCAATATGAATTTTGAATTTGTACTTGCAACGGCATACTTAAGTGGGACACCTTAGTTGGGCATTGGTGTAACTTATGTTTGCATCAGTAGCTGCTTACACTATTATGCTGGAAGCCCTCAGTTGTCTTTATGTTTCTTCTGGTTTCTGCAAAGATCCTGAAGGGCTTCTTGGTTGCACCTCGATTTTTTCCAAATTCACATTAAAGAAGGAGGCAGCATAGACCCCTTCAACTCAGAGCAATCATTCTCATTACCCATTCAAACTGTTCAGGCCCAATAAAATTGTTTGAGTTTTCTTCGATATTGTGATATTTGGCAAATTCTTCATTTAAAAGATGATTATGACTGCTTTTGAACATGGACAACATTTCTCATAGCATAGCAATACACGATATGAAATAATTATGAGCAAGTATCCATTATTGGAGAGGAAAGAGTCAAAAGGGTCAAAGGGAATCACAGGAGTCAGGAAATTGTCTGATATGAAAGGACTTATTGTCATGGTCAGCTGATTAAGGGGAGACTATGAGCAAAGAATTGCATGCAATGATGATTGTATGCAATACACTTATTGCATACAATCGCCATTTCCAAAATTACTCCTATAATATTGGTGCCCAAAACCTAAAATTTTGCATGGACACTTAGAAATGACAAACCTGGAATGTGCTAGGACTGGTTTTGATTATTTTTATTTTTCATGACTGAAGTAGGGAGCTAAGAGGCAACTGCTATAAAAATTTTCAAATTACATGATAGAAATAGTTCATTTTTGCACTGAAAAATTGGAAAATTCACTTTTTTGCTCCCAACAATCTGTAGCTGTATGTTTTATCATGGAGTTCTATGGGTTTGAATAAATTGGTGGATTTTTTTAGTTGTGGCTTGGGAAATGCCAGATGTACTAGCATTTTAGGTTTTTTAAGAATATCTCAGGAACTGCTGAAGCTTGATGTAAAAGTTATGTTGCAAGATCTTTTAAATACAACCTTTTCAATGGTTACAATGAATTTTACTTTCTGCAGAGCATCTCAATTTTCATTTTTTGCTCATAGTCCCCCCTTAATCAGCTGACCATGACAAGTCCTTTCATATCAGACAATTTCCTGACTCCTATGATTCCCTTTGACCCTTTTGACTCTTTCCTCTCCATTAATGGACACTTGCTCATAATTGTTTCATATCATGTATTGCTATGCTATGAGAAATGTTGTCCATGTTCAAAGCAGTCACCTTTTATTTAATTTGTGTTAGTGAATACTTTCCTACATGCTTTCAGGAAGGAGATGACTTCTTCCCAAGTGGCAAAAATGGAAAAATTATGTATACAAATGATGACATAGTTGATACATGGAAAGGAATGGAAGAATGTGTGGAGAAAGGTTTGGCCAAGTCCATTGGCATATCCAACTTCAATAGCCAGCAGGTTGATCGCATCCTGTCCCAAGCCAAAATCCCACCTGTTGTGAACCAGGTACAAACTCAAGTACATTTTATCTTTCATCACTTATAGCATTGAATAATTGTATTTTAAGTGAATTGTAAGAATATTCAATACTCTACGTGTAGCTCTGATGTGATTAATAGTTGATTTTAAACTTAATAACATTTTTATATGCAATTAATACATGTAAAGTATTTGATAGGGTTTTTTAATATCTGTATGGTTTTCTCTAAATCTCTGTCTGGTAAGATGCTATTTCATTGCATGGGTGGGGTGAACATCTGTTAGGGAGGGGAATAGTAGTTGTATTGACACATGGTGAAAGACCTTGGAGGCATGATCTTTCAGGAACTTAGTACTGTCATTGGTACTTATGTCTAATTAGCCATGAATTGTATTCCTACCTTGAGGGGTGTGTATCACTTATGATTAAATTGATTGAGTAGTTGAGTTTACAGATGATTGTAATATATAGTATTCTATGTATAAAAGACAACAAAATAAAAACATTTGGATCTGGAGGAGCCTTGAACACCATCCTGTTACATTTGAACCAAAACAGGTGGAGTGCCATCCATGGTTGAATCAAGAGAAGCTTTTAGCTCATCATAAGAAGCATGGAATAGTGTTGACAGCCTACAGTCCCTTGGGTTCCCCTGCAAGACCCTGGGTGAATAAGAATGATCCAGTGCTCTTGAAGGACCCCACAATCCTGGCATTAGCAGAAAAATATAGTAAGACTCCTGCTCAACTTCTCATCCGATATCAGGCGAGTTCTTGCCATAACTCTTTCATTGATGTAGGAATGTATAAACTCCAATTTTTTTTATAGACCATGATGTGACACAGACACTGGCCTAGAAATACAACTGGCAATAAAACCTTTACCCTGTGATATTTTCTGGCATCATGCAATTGTCAATTAAATTTGGAATGAAATTTTTGCAACCTAATACTGAAGATATTATTCCTTCAAATTGGATCATCTCTATGTGAGCCAAATTTGTGTATTTGGAATAGCAGGATAAGTGTTAAGGAGTGTATATGGTATCAGTGTCACTTATTCAGGTAAGACAAGGTTTTCAACCCTCTTTGCTAGCATGACATTTTCACTAAACTGCAAAAGGGCCTTCATATAATTGTTTTTTATGCACATATAATTATTATTATTATTAGCACATAAGCTGGTCAATATTGACCATGTCCACTTCAAAATCCTCTCATCTAGATTTTCATCAACCACTAAAATACTTATAAAGTCCTTTCATAGTATTTTGATAGTACATTGTGCCTATTGTAGGACATTTCAAAAGTCACTTCTGCTGTTATGATGACTGCCTCTGGGAAACTGATGCCCGGTGTTGTGAAAATTGGTGTGCAGACCAATTTGACCATGCAGAAGAAAATATTCACAGTCATGTGGTGGTTTGCGATGGCATTATGGTCATACTGGATGGTAATTATGGTCCACAATGGTATATGTTTTTATAATAGCTGTTTGATGTGCTTTCCTTTTTTGATAGTCATAATCTCCAATTGTGACAACACATTCCAAACTGCTGCTTGAAGCATATCAGGGGGTATGGAGCAGACTTCCTGCCATATGCTCTCCTTCAACTCATGGCATGTGGTGAGGCCATTGTAGTAAACATGGCTCTTGAGGTAACCCCAAAGCTGAAGCTGCTTTGTTATTCCTTGAATTTTCATACCAGAGCCTAATGAGCTCAATTCTCTGCCTCAAGCTCATCATTGTAGTGACTTGTTGAAAACTGCTCTAATATGCATTCAGCCTATGCATCCTGCTCCTAAGGTTTCATTGGCTACCATGTGTGATCACGATGTCATAACAGGCCACCATGAAACTTTGTTTTCTTCTGCATGGTCAAATTGGTCTATACACCAAGTTTCACTGTTGTGTCCAGCGCTTTCCTGGGGGCACTTGTCTGAACAGCAGAAGTGACATTTGAAATGCCCTGTATGTTGGTATGGTATATTGGATGCTGTCTAGCACTAGTCCTGATTGATGGAAAATCACTAGTTCATGTGCCAATGTGCTGAGGTTAAAAGTGACAGAGTAGTTGTTCTGTGTCAGTAATGAGAAGGAAGACATGGTCGATGTCAAGGAGAACACAGAATCATCACAGACAATATGGATGGAAGGACTTGAAGCATTTTGTTGCTTCAATGGCTGCACCTAGAAAATAATCACTGCTCAGAATTGTGATAGTGGCTATGCCTTGACCACATTAATGTCTTCTAATAACTATGATCATAATTGAAACACTGGCAATAATGATTGAAATCAGCTTGTGTTTGTATTATCATGATTAAAAGGTTGTAGTGTAAGATTGCCATTATTATTATCATGATTTCTATAAGTACCCAATCAAGCTGTTCTTGGTGCACATGCACTGATGCTCTGTCAGGGATGCATCATATTTTAAAATCACCCCTCAGGATTGCCACCAGTATGTCAAAAAAATGATTTTCGAAGTACACTCTGATTGTGATGGTTCAATTTGACCTATCATATCTTTTTTTTTTAATTTAACCATATTTTAAACTTGCATTGACAGCTGGTAATGTAGCCAAAATATTGGAATCTGAAATGGTATCTGTTCTCATTTCAGTTTATAGGATGGAAAATAATTTGAAAATTTTATCATCATTCTTTTTAGGTTCAGAGAGGCATTGTCTGCATCCCAAAATCCCAGAAACCTGAGAGAATTGAAGCAAACCTTGAAGTGTTCGACTTTGAAATTGCATCAGAGGACATGAAGACTCTCAATTCCCTTGAGAGTCAGCAGAAATTCCGATATTGCCCCTTTGATTCGTAAGTCCAGATATTTGATTAGTGTTGCTTCCACCTTAATCACTCACTGCTCTTATTGCCTTGGAAGTGTCATCACATGAATGCTCTACTTCTTTTCAGGGCTAAGGATCATCCACAGTGGCCATTCAAGGTTGAATTCTAGGTGTTGGTGTGGGGTGACCACCTTTCTTTGTTCCAAGAGTAGAAGTTGTATCCTACATCCTGGTTTGGACAGATGTGTCTAGTCTTGCAAAGAAATATGTGGTTGAACAAGTTGTAAAGCCACTTGAGAAATTTTATGCTCTTTATTTGGCAGAGTTTTATTTCATGAGTTGTTTTGCATTTGAATTTTATTTTGGCTGCACAAGGATGTGCTACATATATACTAAGCCTATTTTGCTGAATTTGCCAGATTTGTTCATTCTAAAGTGTGAGTGGCTGAGATAAGAGAGGACACCAGTATGGACTGGCTATTGGCTGTTTCAAAAATTCATTCTTCTGTTCTTTGCTTCATTTGTAGAGTTCTTACCATGGCTTACATATATTGGTTATTGTTGGCTGTAATGGAGAAAGTTTACACCACTCTTCATGTGAGGAGCATAAATTGAGATTTGTCTTTGCAACTCTGTAATGGCATTCATGCAAAAACTATATTTGTGAATAGAGCAGGGGCTCAACCAAACCTGAACTTCTTCAGTTGTCACATTAAAAAGGATATCTCTTGGCCTTGGAAAAAGATCTCAGATCTCTTTGGATTGCTTTCCTCTAGAAATACCTTACCTTGAACTTTTGTATTTGAAGTAATGAACTCAGTTCATTTTAATATTCATGTCCCAGGGCATGATGTTTGATAATTTCACTTTCTGTGATGAAGCCATATGATTGTGATTTCTATCTCTTTTGATATTCTGCACAAAAGTTCTGATTTTGATCTCTAGCAATTTCCCTTCAGGAAAGTTTCACAACACTTGTACATAATGATTTTCTTTCCAAAGAATGAGAGGTTTGTGCAGAACTAGCTTGAGGTTTTCCTCATGCAAGTAGCCCAGCTACCTCTTCGTGCTGTTTTAGACAGGCATATTTAAATTTATTTTTCTCTGCAGATTGAACATTGATATTCTTTCCCATTGCTTTCTACTGCTAGTGTAAGAACTCATAGGCATACAGTAGGTTCATCTGTCTTGCATATCAACTCTGTGATATCGCAGAGTGACCCCTTGGTCATCCTTGATTGACTTTCATATGATTTAAAGCCAATTGGAAGGCTGGAGTAGTTTGTTTTCATGATCATTACTGAAGGTGAATCTTCTATATTGTGGCTCATGGATGATTCATATTATGCCACAGAGTATACAGTAATATAGAGTGAAATACCTCAAGCAACTATATTGGATCCTGATTCTTCTATCCATCCTTTCTCTCACCTTCACACAGCCCTTGATGGGAACTCAAGATGCTTGGAGTCTTCTATTTCCTTTCTATTATTTTTTTAGTATTTTAGTTCATTTTTGCTTCCAGTTTGGAATTAGCAGGGAGGCAATAAAAAAAAATAAAAACATTCTAAAGGTTTAAAGTTTTCTCTTTAGAATGTTTTTCCCTTTACTATTTTCAAAGTTATAGTTGATACTGCCTTTCAGATAAGGTTGCCATACCATGTCTTGTCACTCTCATGTGCTATGTGATCTTGTCAAGTTCATCCATCCCTGTCATCCATGGAAATGCTATAGCCACTTGATACCTTGATTGAAAACAGCAATGAAGAAATCAACGAGACCTTACAAGCTGTAAGTTCCTCAAATTCATTTGCACATCTTTTCCTATAATGATATAGTATGACTTGTGTGAATGGCCCTTCTCTCTGTAGCATTCACCAAATCTTGAGTCTCACTGGCATCAGCTTTCAGAGGCAGAGTATAATTGTAAGTTTGGCCAAATTTACAGTTGCAACTTTTTTTTAAAGGATTTCAATTTAACATGATTTTCTTTCCAGGGATTTGTGGAAGTGACTCTTCTATCCCTGAAGTCCTTCAAGCACATTTGTCTGAATTCAAAACAAAGTCGCATATATCGGGTGTGCATCAATGACAAATATGAAGCTTCTTTCCAGTACTTTGACCCTTTTCTGGAAGTGTGCCATTCCAGTGAAAGCAGCCAGTGAGTTCCTATTTTCCATATTCAAATACCAGCTTTGAAAATTTTGTGATTCTGGATGATAAAATATGGAACTTTCCAGGAGATCAATACTCCACTTCAAAGAGAATCATGCCAAGGCAGCTGAGTCAGTGGAAGCAGATGAACTCCTCGGGGAGCTCATTATCAAAGTGCCAATTGAAGCTCAGGAGGCAGTTGCTCAGGGGCAGACGTTTCGTGTCAGTGTGGAATTCTCCTTAGAACAGCCTCACGGTGGTATTCATTTTGTCCTTCCTGACTGTGAAGGTTCTCTTGCTGAGGTGAGTCTGAGAAAATCCTCATCACGACATCTATGGGCAGTCCTGCATCATCAAGTTACTCTACCTATGTTTCAGAGAGCCTGCCACATGTTCACATATGGCTACCTGAATTCTTCTCGTCTGTGGTTTCCTTGCTTGGATACGTATTCTGAGCCATGCACATGGAAGTTGGAATTCACTGTAGATGAATCCATGACTGCTGTCTCCTGTGGCGATCTTGTTGAAACCGTTTACACACCCGACATGAGACGAAAGACATTCCATTATGTTGTCAACATCCCAACTTCTGCTCCTAGTATTGGCCTTGCTGTTGGGTAAATAATGTCAATGCAGTAGTTTGTTTGTTTTTTTTACCCTGTTTCTCTTCCATTTACTAAAGCTTCTTACTTTCATAGGCCTTTTGAGATGTATGTTGACCCCAACATGCATGAAGTGACACACTTCTGCCTACCCCATCTACTTCCTCTGCTCAAGCACACAGCAAGATATCTACATGAGGCATTCGAGTTTTATGAGGAAATCTTAGGTGCCCGGTACCCATACCCTTGCTACAAGCAAGTGTTTGTTGATGAAACATGTGAGGATTCCACTCCATATGCATCAATGAGCATAATGAGGTGAGCCAACTACACTCTATATACTATCACTACAGTTCTGAATGGAGTTTTTTCTGACTCTGTTTCTTCATATTTAGCACAAACTTCCTCCATAGCTCAGCTATAATAGATCAGACATATTTAACGAGAAAAGCCATGGCCTTGGCTGTTGCCCGCCAGTTCTTCACATGTTTTATATCCATGCACAATTGGTCTGATGCTTGGCTCAGCTTTGGGGTTTCTCTATACCTCAATGGTCTTTTCATGAAGAAGACTTTTGGAAACAATGAATACCGGGATTGGATCCATCAGGTAGGGATGCCAAGCCCCATCAGGCTTTCTGTGGAAGTCTGCTTCACATTATATGTGAATGAGTATGTGAATACTCCTTGCAGGAATTGATGCAAGTTATTGACTATGAAGAGAAATATGGTGGAATCATGTTGGACCCAACAGATGCACAGTCTTCCACCCCAAAGCCACCACAGCACTTCTCTCCAAGCTTTCCCCATACAAGTTCACCCCTATATTTATCCATGTACATGAAGAAGGCCCATCTTCTGTTTCGGATGCTCGAGGAACGCCTTGGCCAAACCCTTCTCCTTCAGGTCTGTCATGATGGTCCTCAAAGCTCTGGAGAAATCTGTTGACTGCTTGAGAAACATAGAAGACATTCCCCGATGTATCATTGCTGATAATATATAGGTGCTGAATAAGCAGCTCTCCTTGGCTACAAAGGCAGCTGAGGAGAAGGGTCACATATCTCAGTTGGGACAGCATATGTTGTTGAGCACAGCTGTCTTCAAAGCTGCCATCTACACAGTAACTGGTAAAGACATCACCACCTTCATCCAGCATTGGGTATGCCAGGGTGGTCATGCATGCTTCCATGGCAGCTTCATCTTCAATCGCAAGAGGTAAGTCTCCCTGATTTGGTCCAGTAGATGGTTATAACAGGATAGATATTATTATTACTCGTGAATCTGCCTCTGAATTTGTCATTATGTATTAATGAATGAATGAAAATTACTTGTCCCACCAGGAATACAGTTGAGCTGGAAATCAGACAAGACATTACTCACGGGACAGGAATATCTCGTTACATGGGGCCTCTGATGGTCTGGGTCCAGGAGTTGGATGGGACCTTCAAGCACATGTTGCAGATTGAGGGGAATTATGCCAAGGCTGACATCACTTGCCACTCCAAATCTAGAAGAAACAAGAAAAAGAAGATCCCTGTATGCACAGGGGAGGAGATAGATATGGACCTCAGTGCCATGGAGTGAGTGATGTCATGGGGTTTTCAAATGAGGAGATTTCCTAAGGTACATAAGGTATATCCTATCCCTGAGCCAATATGCAGTAGGGATAAGGTTAAGACTGAATTCACTGGAGTCACTTGATGTCTGCTGGACTGCTGTATTTTCATGGAAAAAGACAAATCATGCTGGACCATTCTGGCCACTTTGTGTGACCACTCTGCTGATTGATTATCCATTTCACATTTTCATTCTTTGGATGCTTGAAGTAGTTGGTGGCAGGCCATTTCACAAAGCTTCTTAGAAGTGGAGCTCCTGAAATGTGCCAAAAGCTATTCAGTGTGAGTAAACATATTTACAGAAAGTATTAACCAGGTGACATTTTGGACAGCTAAACTCCTTAGCTGATGATAGTCAGCTTCTACCATCCTCCATCTCTTCCCATCCTGCATATTTTCAAATGTTGTATTAGAAAACTTGTGCATATATCCGAAAGGTGCTAAAAAGTAACAAAGTCCAAGTCTGCAATTTCCAACCAGCTACTTGCTAATGAAATCTTCGCTCTGAATTGACTAGGCAGGGAAAGCTATTCCCCCCTCGTAGTTCTCAAAGGACTACATCTTGAGCCAGATTTTGAGTTTCAAATTTTTGGAACTTTAGGGAAAGTTTTGAATCTCATAGATCCCCTTCTTCTGAGTAGAGAACACTTGGTATTAGACATTTCTCCTACCTGCATTTGGATGACTTACAAATCTTTTCCATCTCATTGCATTTTAGTGCTGACTCACCAGTACTATGGATACGCATAGATCCAGACATGACTATTTTTCGTCGTGTGGACATGGAGCAGCCAGACTTCCACTGGCAGTATCAACTACGTTATGAAAGAGATGTTACAGCCCAGATGGAGGCCATCGAAATGCTGCAACACTACCCTACCACAGCAACCCGCCTTGCCCTGACTGACATAATTGAAAATGAACAATGCTTCTTCAAGATCCGCTGTGAGGCAGCCAAATGCTTGACAAAAGTTGCCAATCACATGGTGCAAAATTGGGCTGGACCTCCTGCAATGATGACCATTTTTAAGAAAATGTTTGGGTCCAACATCTGTCCAAACATCGTCCGCCAGAATGATTTCACCAGCTTGCAGCATTACTTTCTTCAGAAGGTGAGCATAGTTGCTCCATATATCTCCCAATGAAGAAGGGTCATGGTAATTAATAATAATGTTCCTCTGACTAGGCCCTCCCATTTGCCATGTCTGGGTTGAGGACTTCAGTTGGACTCTGTCCATCAGAGGTGATAAAGTTCCTGTTTGATCTGTTCAAGTACAATGACAACTCAAAAAACAAGTTTTCAGATTGCTATTACATAGCTGCCCTCATTGATGCTCTTGGGGAAACAGTCACTCCTGCTATCAGTTCCTTGGCAGGGGGCCAGAGGTAAGTTTCATTGCTTGTTAAGGTGTGGGTCAAGTTTATGTATCTCAGTCTCCACTGGAATTTTTGTCTTTCAGTGATACAATAACAGTGGAGAACTTGTCCAATGATGCCAAAGCGATTTTGGAAGAGGTGATAGTGCAGCTGAATCTGGAAAAGTTGATTCCTTGCTATAAGTATGGTGTCACTGTCAGCTGCTTAAAAGTGATTCGCAAGTTGCAGAAATTTGGCCATTTGCCTCCTAATAGTGCCTTTTTCCGGAGCTATGCTGAATATGGGCATTTTGTAGGTGAGCCATTGCTAACTGTCTGGTATCACTGCTAGATGGCCTGTTTAACAATATGGCATGCATGTTGCCACTCTTCCTTTTACATGTGTATTTATACAATATCACTAATTTGTTGCATCCACTGGATATCAGTCTTTTTAAAGACACTACAGGTAGTAAAAACTAATTTAATTGGTTAATGAGATTTTGATATTGATGGTTGGAAAAACTCTCACAATCCAAACTATAAAATAGATTCATGGGAAAGTATGTACTACTTCCAAAAAATTATGTGGAAATAAGCTAGACACGATTTTAAAAAATGTAAAAAGTGAAATTTGAAAATAAAAAAAATTAAAGGGAACCATTTAGTAAGCATAAATTCAAGCTAAAAGTGGAAAAAAATGTTTACCCATTTGCATGCAATGATGTTTTAGTTCATCATTGGATGCAAATGGGTTTTTAGGAGATCTGGGCTTCATAGGGTTCTGAGTAGAATTTTGTAATGGAAGGAACTTTTTTCCCTCACTGAAAAGCTGAGGTGAAGTTCCATCTCAGGGTACACTTCCTGACTTTAATTCCCTTTGTATATTAGATGTGAGGATAACAGCATTGGAGGCTTTGGTGGATTGTATCCAGGGAGGAGAGAAAGATGATGACTTCATGTACCTCATTGACATGATGCTTGATGACAAAGTTCCTTGTGTGAGTGCCCTTCCTGAGAATCAAATTACTGGACTGTTTCACTTCTGCCATCTTTCTATGGAGGCTTTCTTTCAAGCTGATTGCTATCACAGAACCTCTGTGTTGAGTTTAATTTAAACCCATGGTTTTGTTTTCTGTTAGTTTATGAGCAGATTCAGTTAGATGAGATTTTGACTGTTTGGTTGGTGCTTTCTTTTCATAATTTTTTTTCCCACATAGGTACGGCACAAAATAGCTATGATGTTGATGGATTCCCCACCCTTCACCCCAATCATGAATTCACGAAGCCCACTGAATACGGCTGCTCTCATGGAACGTCTCTGGGATGCAATGAAGTGAGTGGCCCCATGACTCCTGGGAAAAGGTTTGTACAGTCAACTTAAGATGTTGCTCCCATTTCATTCCTGAAATAGTACCGGATTGTCTAACGATGCGAGGCTTCGGTGTGATGTTGTGGACCTGTATCATGCTCTGTATGGGACAGATACACCACGTGTTGCTACACTTTCACGCAGTGAGGAGCTCTTTCCACAGCTCCTGAGAGAGACTACCTTTCATCGTCAAGATGGGGAGGAACGGCCTTTGGTGAGTACTATGATGGCCACCCTCTCTTGGTGGTGTTGTGTTCTCTCCTGTCTAGTATCACAGTACTTACTCACTCATGATGAGGTAATGATTTTTTGCACATTTCATATTGTGTTTGCTTGTAGCATCAAGTAGAAAAGGTAGAGAAGATGGAAGAAGAGGAATCTCCTGGCATTATTATACCAGTTGAGAGGGAGAGGGTCATGAATCAATCTGTTTTGGGACTTGGTCCTGAACCCATGGATTCAGGACTTGGTGTTGATATAGACAGGAAGCCTTTTCCATTTGGTGAAATTCCTCATGAGCCAGAAGTACCTGAAGCAGTTCTGGGTCGTGAGGAGCCCCTGAAAGTAAAAATCCCAGTGAGTCACAGCCTCATCACTTTCTGTTCGAGAGAGTTGTGATGTTACATTGCTGTGTCCTTCCAACCACCCAGGAGTCAGGGGATAGTTCTTCAAATGCTGGGCCTTCTCCATCCTTAAAGCCAGAATTCTTTTCGGAGTCATCTCAGTCACTGCCAGGGATCATCGGAGAGGTGACAGGACCAACAGGCTTCACCCCTGGCATGTTCTCTGGACATGCTTCAGTAGTGCCAGAGGAACCTGCACAGCCCAGCACTTCCAGTAAACCTCATAAGGCAAGCATCCTTGTGTTATCTTCTCATGAGTACAATGCACATGCTTGCAATGTATGTGTTTCCTGTCTTCCTGCAGGCAAAGAAGAAGAAGGAGAAAAAGAAGAAACACAAGCACAAACATAGACACAAGCATGAAAAGCAAGATAAGGAACGCATGGATTATGAGAAAATCATCCAAATGGTGAAGATGAAGGAGGAATCGTCTCTTCGCTCCCTCAGCTCAAGCCCTGAGCCGATGTCCTGATGCAGACAAACAGCAAACATCGTATGTCACTTTCTGTTCTTCATGTCTGTCTTGAAGGAGAGTACAGGGGACATCAACATAGGGATATGTGTGTAACAAAACAAGAGCAAAACTAGAGAAAGCACAGACTAAAATATTCATGTTTTTTTACTGTCACTGTTACCCATTAATAATGTAAAATATTAATGTCATCCTTTTGACCTTAATAATTCAGACATCATTGTGCCCTCAAGATAACTATTAACTAGACTCTCTTCTGACTGCTGTAGGCATAATTTCACCTTGTTTGCAGCCTCAGATATGGAGGTCATTTTGCTGTCTTCGGATGAGATGTGCACCCTCCTAATCAAAGGGAAGGGAGGGAGAAGAGGGTAACGGCAAGTGGACCCCTGACAGGATGTGCTCTGGTCGTTGGACAGCCCAAGGTTTTGGAGGCCAATCGACAATGATTGCATGTTTTGTGTCTGTGATGATATGATGCTTGTAAAGCTATGGTTCTGGAATCAAGCATCTTTAAGATCCTCCTCAAATTGTGGATTATGAATTATGGAAATGCTGTTCATGCATGAACTGATGAATAAATGTCATAAAGTGTTATTGGAAAGAAAAGGTATAGCATCAAGCAATGAAGACATTGGAATAGTCAGATATTGAGGTGGACTCAGCAGACATTCCTGGGGCTCCATTGTGCCTTGGCAGTTCTGGTAGTGCTGTCTTCTGTTCTGAGCATATAGAGTTGGGAAGAAGTTTCAAAACCAAATTAGAGTGGTTTTTTTTTATGAAGACCAAGAATGAGATAAAACTTTAAAATAAAAAGAGGCATTGCTGCAGCAGGGTTTTCGACAAGCTACTAAGTAAGGCACTGGGAAAGACTAAAAGTCTAAAAGAATAGTCTAAAAGTGCACAGCCCCCTCCATCTCAGAGATGAACCCTTCTCCTGAGGTAATTAAATTTATCACTTCACTCCTCCAGAACCATAAGGTCCGTAGAGTTAGTCTGTGATCAGACATAAACACAAACTATGATTTTACTTTAAAGAATTCACATGGTTCAGGCAGGTGTGATGATGCATGAACAGCGTCTTACTGGGTCGTTTCATTTGCAAGATCCCGTAATCTTCTAAAGGTCTTGGTGAGAACTTTCCTGGTGACCACAATTATGTTTCATAGAAGAGGCTCCTTACCCCCTCTCACTGCCGCCTTCAAACCGCATAGGGTATGAGATGCATGCTAATGTGTCTAGGATATTCCAATGAGGATTGACTGTAACGTTTGTCGAAAAGGGTGGGTGTTTATGCTTATACTGTACTATATGAGTCATAGGGTGACCTTAGTCAAAATGGCAGGGTCTGGACCACTTTTAATTAAAATGTATAGCAATTTATCACTTGAAATGCCCATCCCCAACCAGAACTGTTTGTCAATCAATCGATCAGATATGTGGTCCATCCGCAGCTGTGGCAGTTCTTGACTAGGTAGATAAATATATTGGGGTGCAATGGAACAAAGATATGTCAATACTTCGAAGTGGGTGAAGAAGGTAGACGCCTCATATTTTACATTCTGCTGATAATACCACCCATCAGATTTTAGTAAAGGAACACCCCTACCACTCATTCACTTGTTCCAAGTCACAGGTGGGATGCTGAAATCCACCAGCAAGCAGCTGGAACTGATCTTCCACAAGGTGATACCATAACATGTGCCATCTACTTGTCCTTGACTCATCATGTTTTGGTAACACTGAACTCATCCCAAAAAAAGGAGTGAGAAGAGGACAAAGGAAGAGATGACACCTACAGCATTATGTGCAATACCCTCTCTACACAGCCAGACTGCTGCCAGGGGGGATTCATTACTTACATTCCAGAAAAATAATTGTATTTGATATGTTCTGTTCATTTCCTATATGTACCATATTGACTTTACTCTGGTTCAAGATTGAGAGACTCAAGTGACTCAAAAACACTGAAGAATTTCAGTATCACTAAAATGCTGCCCATTCTTGCTGATAATTATATATTTTAGCTCAAGAAATCAATCTGTTTCCTTAATCAGTATAACACTGTTAGGCAAGGAAGATATTAGAGTGAATTGTAAAATGTAACAACATTTAATCTTATACCAATGCAAGTGCATAAGGAGTTAGAGGATTACACTGGGCCCAAATAGGCAGCACAAAATATATCTGGGTAGGCCTGTGAACATGGGCACAAATGCTTCTTGCTGAGGCTGTCATCACATTTCTGATGTAATTGTGGCAGTCACTCTTCTGCCAAGAAGACGTGTCAATAATAATGAAATAAATGCAAAGACTAAGCTTTTATTGCTTACATTAATGAACAATTACAGGCTCCACAATAAATATTACACTTTAAAATTTTCCTGTGTCCCATACATGAAACCCAGCTCTAGCAATTGGAGTTGTTCCACCCACGTGAAAATTTAATATAAGACCATATATGAAATGGCCATATATTTAGCCAGTCCAACATATATGGGGTATATATGACCATATAGTGCAATTCATATATGAACATGTGTGAAACATAAATGGGGTTTGACACAAGTCACATAAAATCATATAAGAATGAAAATATATGACCCCATACATTTTCATATATTGGCTCATACAAATGCACCATATACTGTCCATATATGCCATGTCATATCTATGTATGGTGAGATTACCTGAAACATGCCTGTATCCAAAAAGGGTCCATAATCCAACAAATACTATATAACCATTCATATGCAAGTCACCATAGTTAACTTGCAATCAACTTATTTTTAATTGTTCATAGACCATAGTCAATTACTCCAAGAACTCATGTTTTGTGGTGTTCAACATATGCACCCTTGTTTATGAAGGTGAAAGTTTCAATATTGTAGACCTCAAGTCAAGATGAGGTTGACAAGTGAGGATGACCTTCACAAGTATTTTCATCAGTAATGCTATTTCATGACAAAACTTGGCTTACTCCAGTAGGAGTGTCTTCTTCATTTTGACTGACAACTCACAAGATAGATGGGAACAAAAACTGTATTTCTTTCTGAAATAACTCAATGAAGGAATTGTTCAATGATGGCACAGCATGGCATGTGCCCCACTTTACAACAAAAAATGCATTAATACAAAGGAAAAGACACATGAAATGCTTGATAACAGTGTCCCACCCAGAGTTCCCATGGCCCCTCCTCCCCTCCCACACTTTTTTCATCTGCGATACACATTTGCTGCTTAGGGAGAGTAGGGCCCGGTATGAAATCCCAACTGGAATTTTCCAGCTGAACAGAAGCTGTATATTCAGACCATTTTCAGCTGGCAAAGAGCTGAAAAATGGTAGATACAGGTTGTTTTACAGCTGGAAATTTACCATTAGAATTTTATACAGAGGACTCTCCAGTTGGAATACAGCTGAATTTACAGCTGAAATTCAGCTGCTTCTGTAGATGGACCTCGAGCAAGAATAGTCAACAAAAACATTCTCATTCCACCAGTGTATTGCAATTAGGAACAATCTGGATCTGACTTTACTTTCCAACTGCTACCCAGTTGGAATGGGTCTGAATTTCCAACTGAAGTCCAGCTGGAAATTATTGCTGTTTCTAACTAGGATTTTAAGTTCGAAATCAAACTTTTGACAAATTACTTTAAAAGTTATACATAGTTAATATTTCGTGTAAAATATGTGCACATTGAAAATTAGTTGCAGAGGCATCTAAAGGTTAATTGCCCTCATGTGTACCAACCTCATGCAGTAGCATATTTTACAGGAAGGGGGCAGGGGGTGCAGCTGCCCCCCCCCCCCTTGGCATCCCTGGGACAGGGCTTGGTGCCCCCACTCTGATGCCCTGTCCCCCCTGACTCTTCAGCCAAAATACACCACTGACCTCATGCTATGTTTTACTTACAACCATAAGACTTGTTTCTGGATATTCACCACATATAATGATGCCATTTTCCCATCACACTTAATATTGCAATGCAGATAAAAATATATTATACACTATACAATTGTTAATATATGAATACATATATGGTGGTATATGGCATACAAATGATCATACATGACATATATAGACATACACCCTGTCATAAAATGATTTTTCATGTGGATAAGCTGTCACACAAAGGTGTTTGTCAGATAGATACCTCCTGTAATGGATTTTACTATCAAGAGAATTAGTGATACCAAGAGGCGATTTCGCCCATTTCGATATCACGTGTTGAGGTCGAAAATCTACCTAAATTTCTATCTAAATTTACTATCTGTGTTTCCCAGCAGATGCAGAATTTGCATCCCTGGTCTATAGGGTAGCCCAAAAAAACCCACCAATTTCGCTGGATCAAATTCATGATAATTTTTATGATTTTTTGCCAATTAGTCAGTGGATTCTGCAAAAATATGTGAAATTAAGTGATCAATAATATGCCATGCCAATCCAGTCAGTTTTAATTGTGCCAATAAGTAGCAAGTTCTTTACCTTTTTTTTTCTCAGCAATTTTGCAGAAAATCGTAATTGGCGGTTTTTGGGGCCACTCCATAGCTGATTTTTTTTTTTTATTGGACAAAGCTGGAAGTTTCCTGACAAACAACCTGGTTTTCTGATGGAAGAAATAAAGTTCCAGCTGGAAATTTCCTTTGGAGGGAGCCTTCCTTTCCTTTGAGACTCTTGATATCCCTTTGCATACTGGAAAAAATATGCTATTGAAAAAAATAAAAAAGTCCTAAAAAAGAGCAAATGACTTATCATTTTAAATGCATGCTATGCTGGCTGCTCTGCCGGTTTCCAAGATCTGACAATGGACAAGGTTCTTTCTCAATGCCTTCTGAAGGCTGATTGCCAGCAGTTGCTGATTGATGGGATTCACTGTTGATGACAAAGGAATTCTCTCAGGTTCAATACTACAGATCAAAGAAATAAAAATAGAATGATAATACTAGAGGGAAGGAAAAGGGCTGAGCTACAAGAAGAATAAGTAGTAGTAAGAAAACCTCTTAATCCTTTAAGGGCCATGAGTGGAGAAGGAGGGCATCACCTCAGAGCCCAGGTTTTCTCCTCTTACGGTTAATGTTAGTTTCCCACCAAATCAGTACATCTCCCTTCTCCAAATAGTTACTAACTTGGCCATTAGAGGTGCCAGTTTCTGGCCAAGGAAAGGAATATGGCCTTCACACATTATAAACCTAACTGTACACGTACATTTGTGGCCCTCAAAAGTTTAAAAGGATTTTTCCTTTCTTCACCCTCTGTCCTATAGACTGATTAGGCATTGAGCAGTTTTGCATTGCCTGTTGAGTGGGCTTTCTTCAAAATGGGGGGCATTGTATTGTTTAGGAGTGATTGTATTCAAAAGGTGGAATAGGAGTACAAGTCTAAACTTCAGTTGTGTATGTGGAACTTTTCACACACACCCCCCCCCCCACTCTGTTTCATAAAATCTTGCTTCATTTTGGGGGGATGTCCAGACACCCAGGACACCCCCCTGGCTACATCCCTGACAGAGTTCAAAGGGAGTTTTGGTAATTTTCTGGTGCCAAGCCACATGCCAAATCTATTGATGTAGGCAGAGAGCATTTTGAGGCACTTTCGAAATTCATAATT